TTAGGACGCACCAGATACAATGGAGATAACTCGTCGTCGTGGTCGCAGTGCCTCTTTTCCTCCCAGGAATGAATTAGAAATGCACGTGGTCAGCGCTGACGACATAGAGATCAGCTACGACGTGGATTCAATACTGACTTGCTGTCGTTCGTTGGAGCCGTACAGGTGCTACAGTTTGGCTAAAATCGACATGAGTCCGAAATCGATAGTGAAATGTGAAAACGTTAAATTGACGGATGTCCTGGTGAACAGAGACCGATTATTTCCTGTGCAGCGGCGCCGCCCCGACGACATTTTGCTGCACGACGACACGACCAACGATCGACAGAATTGGCACGAATTCTGTATCGGAACAGTCGACAAACAGCCGATCTACGTTGCGTTCCAAACGACCAGCCTCGACAGCGAGTTCTTTCGAGACGCTCAAATTCCGCCGCCGCGCGGTGGTCGCGGCTGCGGCGCCGCTAGTAAAGAGGGTCACTATCGCGCAGTGTGCAGGGCCTTTATGACGCATGTCATCAATGTCGCGGCTGAACGATTACCCATCCAATGCCAGACGGCCAGAGCGGGAATTAGGTACATCGAGAATGATGTTCAACGGGTATATTCCATTAACTCCCGGGATTGGGATTTGTTCGCGAGACTCGTCACCTATGTGCTGGGAGAAACGGACCTCGAGTACACGTGCGGCATGGCGTACGCGCGTTTTTATACGTGCGACCACGGCCTGCGCATGGACGGCGAGAATGCTGAGCGCTATCTGTTGAACCTATTGGACGTGAATCACAAGCACGTTGATATTACGCAAATTCATTGCGCAAACGAGTTGCAACTACGCAGCGCCAGCGACGATGAGCCGATCGTCGTAAAATTGACGGACCAACGGTTGTCCGTCGTTGTATTTTTCGAGGTGGCGTAAAGCTTGGCGATTATAAGCTGAAGCGCTACTACGTCGGCTTCGATCGCAACCACGGGCACTTTGCCTGTCATCAATCGCCACCAGTACAGCCCAGCGACGACGATGACGACGGTGACGACAACGTTGTCGTGGCACGTCACCGAATAACTTTTATTCAGGTGAAGATGGCCGGCATACCCTCGTCCGGCGCTCTTCTTTCTTACGCCTATTCTCGCGGATATCGCGCGCTGCCCACGGAGACCGACGACCCGAGTGGCCAGTGCACTGTTATGCGAAGAATGAGGAACGAGACGAGACAGAGCCTGCGCGACCTCGTCGAGTACACGGCCAACTACGTCGCGTCTAGTTCCGTGTTGCGAATCGAGGAGGTAGTGACGTTCGATTTGGTCAATCGTTGCTCCTCCTCGGCGACGACGACGGACGTCGAGGAAGACGACGCGACAATCCTCGAGGAAATGAGACGTGTAGGAGTCTTTAGAGCCGCGAGAGAGTGCTTCGCCACGACACGATTGTTGTACAATTCGATCCTGGTGCGTGTTGTCGATTGGCCGCGACACTTGATCGCGAATATTGGTCGTGAACTGCGTGTTATTGAAAAATTCGTCAGGGCCGACAGACGTCTGTTTGACACGCTCGCATTTATCATTCCTCCCATCGTTGGCCAGTTTATATGCGCGCACTTTCAAGGCTGTTATTTTGTGCACGGTTGCTCGTATAGACACAATTGTGAGATACAGAGATATATGTTTGTCGGTGGCACGGAGGCCCGTAGCGCGCGAGGTCAACAGATTGTGCTCAGGCCGATGCTGTACGACGTCGACGAGGAGCAGAGAAGAGAAATACTGTTCCCGTTTTACGACAAACAATTCCCGCATCAACAACTGGAAGCGATAAAGCACATCGCATTTGTCAGCCACGTCGTTTGGTACAAGTGCAACGTGGCCGTTGACATCATCGATTCGGAGCGTCACGCGATAGTAGCCGCCAAGTTTTTAATTACTTGCTGCGCGACTTGGATACACAAGAAATTGGTGGATCGGCACTTGACCCCAAACAACATGAATCTCGTCGCATGGACGTACGCAAATGTGGCCGAAGCATTTTCCGTCGACGTAATGATCCGTCGGGCAAAAAAACTCCTCACGTTGAACAAAGTGGTCGTCGCTGAAACGACCGTAAACGCCGAGGCTATCGTCGCTGCCATGTTCGACAGCCCCGAAACGCCATTCTGCACGGTCGCCAGATTGTGCATCCAATTTGACAACGATGAGGCGGCCTTCGTCGACGTGTTGACTAATTTCGTGCGCACGTTCCAAGTGTTCCCCAAGTCGCTCTTAACCAAGAAGGTTCGCGCCAAAGACCGCTTGACGTGGCACGTAGTTGAGCAAGAGGAAGACGGCGTTTCGATCGCGGCATTGCGCGACAGAATTGCCGTCGCGAGAGGAACGCGACGCAGTCGACGAGACGGCCACATCAGAGAATTGATGTCATCGAGACGAGACGCGTCACCGGCACCATCGCCAGATCTAGTACAAGCGCCAACGCCATTGGAGCAATCGAGACTGGATTCTACTCGTGATTCTTGTACAGCCCTCGCGGATCGGTCGGTAGTTGGACGCCTATTCAACTTGGACGCGTCTACCTCACGACCATCGTTAACCGAGGAAGCGCCACGACGAGTGGGACGACCTGCGGGTACCACTAAAAAGCGTCTAGGACCGAAACCAGGTCAGACTGGAGCTAGAAAGAAGGCCAGGACAGCGGAGGCCTACGACGCCGAGTTACGATACATACCTCGTGCCGGCTGCAGCACGACCATCGATCAACCGTCGACGCCCGTCCAAGCTG